TCCCCTGCGCCCTCCACACATGTTCCTTCTATGCCAGATTTCATTGCTTGGCCACCTTTTGCATCCAGTGGGCCACCGTACCGTTTGTGTTAACTGTGATTCGTGTTACCAGCCCACTGAACCTCAGGAACCTTCTTATCCACTGAACAGTTTGCCTGGAGCATCACTCAGCCATGTGTTTGTTTATGTCCTGATTATCCCGAGTGTTGCTCCAGTACATGACACTTCAACAAGTTGATTCTTGCTTGTGGGAGGTACACTTAGTATCTGTGGATTTATTTTATATAGACTATTTTTACATACTTTTTTAGAACATTATGTTTGCCTTTGATGTTTGTTTCTAGTGAAATCTAATAATGAATTCTGTTTATGTCCTTCGACTAATTCATGTATTCGGTGAAAAATAACCTGTAATTTTGTGCTGTGATCTGTAAAATTTCTTATTGTAAGTACATTAGATATAATTTTTATGTTTCTCTGGAACTTGGTGGCATTCGTCTAGAATGCAAGAAGGATCCATTTGGGACATTGAGGCTGAATAGGAAATGCCAAAAGATCTGCAAAAGAAAAAGCTGAAGAAGGGAAGAACATTAGCATATCACAGGGGAAAAGTCTGTGCTATGAAATGGAAAGGCAAAAAGAAGTCTCCCTACTGTTAACTGTTCGTATCACAGATATGACACAACTTGAAAGAAGAAATGAAACTAAAATAATTCCAGTAGTAGTCAAAGGTTTTAATAATTCTATGGGTATGTTGACAAGGATGTCCAACATCTAACATGCTATTCTGTAATCAAACAGTGAGGAAAAAATTAGTATAAAATATTTATGCACTTTCTGGACCGAAAAATATGGAACTCACTTGTTATTTATTCAAATAAGGGAGTTCAAAAAGTCCTTTATAATTTAGAGTCGGTCTAATGGACCAAATAGTTGAAAAAATATGGGATAGTGAAATGCCAGCCAGGACGTCCATCACCGACATCTTCACTTTGTGTCTAGTGGGTAGACATCTTACTGCAATTCTGCCACCCACAGAAGAAAGGAAGGACCAGTGTGACTGAGTAAAGTGTGCTGTTTCAAGAAAGACAGTGATGCAAAAGGAATTTGGAAAGAGGCTAGATACTCTCCAGATTGTAACGGTGCATTGTATATTGAATGTTAAAATATACTGTACACAGAAAAATTATGGAATCCACTTGATAAAATTGTCATTTTTATACTTACTGATAGTCTATAAAAGTTAACCAAAAAATAGGTAATTTTTGGTCATTTCATATTTAAGTAATTGGATCAGTAAGTGGTAACTTCCATTCTCTTTCCCAGTTCTCCCTCCATTTGAATGTCCTGATCCTGCCCTACCTCCAAAGCCAGCCACTCACGAATCCTGTCAGCTCTGCTTCTGATGCTGCCTGTACATCTACCTGATTCTCTTTATATCTGTATCCCCTGCCCTTGGTGTTTCACCCTCATGTCTCCTTGAATACTGCACTGTGCAGGCCTCTTGGTTTCCTGTCACACTGTTCTCTGCTTCCTGCTTCAAGGTACTGCCAGAGTGAGCTTTCTCCCCTTTCTCCATCCTTCCCTCCTCTTCTTCCCGCCCTCCCTCCTCCCTCTTTCTTCTCTCTCTCTTTTCTTTCGCTAGCCATGGAGCCCAGGACCTCACATATACCAGTTGCTGTGCCGATAAGCTGTCTCTCCAGCCCCAGAGTGACCTTTCTAAGACAAAAATTAATTAGATCACGTCATTCTCGTGATTAAAACTCTTGAGTGTATTTTGGGAGAAAGTTCACATTCCTTATCATGGTAGAGGACAGCGACAGGTCTTTGTCAACGCCAAGAGCCTGTCTTCCTGGCAGGCAGACTGCGGTTCCTTGCTGTAAGATTAGGGCCATGTGAAAAGTTAGTAAAAATGACAAGTTGTTTGCAGGCACAGGCAGCGAAGAGCGATGACCCTAGTGTATCTCTTTTTTCTTCTGGCATGAGACCGAGGCCTGTGTTCTGTGTGTCCCTGCTGTAGAATGGAGGAGGGCTGCCCCACCCACCTGACTCGACGGTGGCTTAAGCCAGTGAAACTGGGGTTTGTCTCTTCCTGCAGATCACCTATCACAATGTCTCTGTAAGGGACTCAGGGCCTGCCCTTGCCTCGCTGTCATTATTTCTCTTTTCTTCTTTCCTTTACTCTCTGTGTGACAGCTAATGAGGTGTCAGGCACTTTCCCACTGTAGGCTTTTGGATGTGTAGTTCTTGTTGCTTAGAAAGCCTTCTTGTCATTTACTTCTTCTTGCCACTTTCTCAGCTTTCAAGCCTCGGCTTCCATGTCTCTTCCTCTGGGAAGTCACCAAGACTCCCTGCTAGCTACAGGTAAGGTCCCCCCTTGTGTTCCCTTGCACAGCCATGCCTGCCGCTCACTTGCCACTCTGTCCAGAGACTGGCTGTTCATTTTGTTTCCACCAAGTAAACCATAGCTCGGTGAACACTGTGACTGTCTGTCTATCACAGCCTTCTGTGGTTTACAGGTGGTATTCATACATTTTCATGGGATGAGCTCTTGTGAGGAGACAGAGGCACTTTCCTTAGGGAGAAGTTATTGTGAAAATTGTAATTCTCATTTCTTTTGTCAAGATTTCCTTAGTAATTTAATTTCCTGAAAGAGAGTATAAATTTGTTGTTTGGGAGAAACAGTGTATGATCAGAACTGGCTTGATTTCTGGTCTAATTAACTGTGCAATATTTAACAAGTCATTTATTAGGCTTTCAATGATGATCTAATAGGAATAATAATGATACCTGCTTTCTAGGGCTATGATGATTCAGTCTCTCTCTCTCACACACACAGAACAATGCCTGACATATAGAAGTATCCAGTAAATGTTGCATATATTATTTTTCTAAAATATCCCAAATGTCAATGTGATATCTTGGTTTGGCTCTTGAAGCAGACAAAAAGGCATTGGGGAAGCGTGAAACTGAGTAAGTTAGGAGATTTTTCTGAGACAAGGTCTCTCTGTGTAGCTCAGGCTGGCCTCAAAGTCACGCTAGTCTTCCTCTTAGCCGTCCAAGTACTGGGATTGCAGGTATGGGCCGCCTCACTTGGCTTGGTGAAACCTGATTAAGTTTAGACTGTAGTTCATAGCGATATTCCAATATAAGTTTATTAGCATTTTAAAATACACCACTATAATGTAAGATAACTTTCCAGGGAACTGGATAGGGATATCTGGAAACCCTGTGCTATCTTTGTAACTTTTCTGTAAGTCTAAAATTATTCCATAGTGAAAAGTTTATTGAACTAGAATCTTATTATAAATTGATATTCATTTCATTCTGAATTTCTGTATGATACAAGCACTGTTATGACTACCGTTATAGATGAAGAAACTGGGATTCTTTCTGAATAACTTACTTATGTTTAGCTCTCACTTCAGGATAATAAAGTGGAAACTCTTGGTGGGTTGGGGTTTAAGTAGAAGGCCATGACAAGCATGTACTGAGCCCCTTCCTTTGTGTGAGGCAGCATCCTACATCGGTGCCAACAGAGACTCCTGCGGGCAATCCATGTGTGACAGTGTGGGAGGATGAGGCAGGAAGATTATTGAGCCCAGGAGTTTAAAGCCAATCTGGATAGTACAGCAAGATCCTGGAGAAAGAAAAGGAGAGGGAGAGGGAGAGCAAGAGCGAGAGAGAGAGAGAGAGAGAGAGAGAGAGAGAGACAGAGACAGAGACAGAGACAGACAGAGACAGAGACAGAGACACAGAGACAGAGACACAGAGAGACAGACAGAGAAAGAGAGAGCCTACTGAAGGCAGATAGTCTGAATCATAGTGGTGAGTGCAGAGTTAAGGCTAGGGATCCAGTTCCTGATTCCAGACCCATGTTCCTATAGTTCATATCTAGATGTCCCCCCAAGGCCTCATGTGGTCATGGACTTTTGAAAGGTGGTTGGATTATGACTGTTTATAGCTGACTTACTGGTAGGAGGTGGGATTGGGTCTAAAGATATGAGTCATTGTGGGCATGAGCTGGAAGGGTTTCTCTCCCCGATTTTGTTTCCTACCCTCCATACCATGAGCAGCTTTCTTCCACCATGCCTCTCTACCATGCCATCTTACCTTGGATCCAGCTAACTATGGACTAAAAATGTGAACCCAAATAAACCTTTCTTCCCTTAAGCTGTGGCTGTCAGTATTGTGTCTCAGCTATGAGAAAGCAACTAAGACATAACCAGTGCACCAAACCAAGGAGGGACAAGTGATTAGAGTCACATGTGACTTGCAGTGGAGATGCAGAGGTAAGCACTTACTTGGTTGGGGTGTTAGGGACAGCTAGCTTCAAAGCTGAACTTTGGTCAATAGGATCATGAGTCTATCTGGGTGGAAAGGAAAGGAAAGATTGGAATGGATCTTTGGGCCCAGGTTGGGTCACTCCTCTCTTCCATGCCCCTTTCCTTCTTCAAACCGGCCCTTGACTGTTCCTGTGTGCTGTTCTGTTGGGCTAATATGAAAGACAGCAGTTCATGAAGTGCAGACCACTGGTGTTGGTGTCAGTAATAGCTCTAATTCTTTCTTATCGATTATACAGTCTTTAGCTGGCTACCACACATCTCTAAACCTCAGCAACATTAAGGTGACAGCTGACTTGGCTGTTGTGAAGGTGAATACAGTGAAAAAATGTATACAATACTGGGTACAATGCCAGGCTGGTTAAGCATTCAATAAACAGTGGCCGTCTCTGCATGCCTTATACCTTTGCTTTGCCCATGGCTGCAATGATACACCCTTATTTGTGTTGCTAAATGTTTCCCTGGGAGGTGGATTTAGGTCTTCAGTCATAAACGTGTGCTCACTTGATTTTGGGTGGACTCCCTTGACATTTCAATGCATCAATGACTTTTCTAGACTTTATGATACAGAGAAGGACAGCCTGCAAAGTGATCACCAAACATTTTATTTATGTTACTAGGAAGCATCATTACTTAAAAGACAGTTCAGCAGCGGTGATGTGGGGAGGGCAGGAGAGCCAGGAGCTGGGGAAGTCACAGCAGGTAGTGGTCGCTGGTAGCTAAATCAGCTGAGGGAACACACCCTGACCTGATCTTTCCTTGATTTGAAAAATCCACCTGGTGACTTCTGCTTTGCGCCTGGCCTCCTCCTCGGCCTCCTCATCCTCGCTGGACTTACAGCGGGCGCCTTGGTAGAGGACCGCACACATCCCCATGAGCCAGGCCGCTACTGTGCCTGCAGCGAAGATACAAAAGCCGATGAGCAGCAGGAAGATGTAATCTTGGCTGTCCAGGTGCGTGAGGCACATGTACCGGAGTGGGTTCCCCACTCGTGTGATGGGCCACCCTGCCAGCTCTGTGGGCTCCACGCATGTGGCATTTTCATCATCTAGGAAGAAAAACAGAGCAGGTAGTGTGCTGAAACACTAGAACTCCTGGGGTCCCAAGCCAGGGGGGACCTGGAGGAGCTGTGGGGAACAGACCAGCAGCACACCCTGGGTCTTGTTAGAAACTCAAAATCTCAGGCCCCATGCCAGGCCCCTTATCAGAATGTGCATCTCAAAAAGAAGAGTACAGTGCAATGCTTTGATTTCTTCTGCCTTTAGATCATAAAACAGACTTTGCTGCTTAGGGATCTTCAGGGGAGAAGAGACCCTAAGAGGAGACAGCAAGCTAGAAACTTAAGCAAGACTGCCATGCAGTGTAAGACTGTTCAGACTGTCATTAATGTTCATCATCTCTATTTTTTCCTCTTTCCTTTAAACTTTTTATAGTAAGCTTTATTTGAGTTGAAGGTAGACGACAATATACTTTCTCTTTTTTTGAAATTAGTGATGCAAGTTGCCATGGCAATATACAATAATTTAGTCATTTCTTTCCTAGGCAAATCAACGTTTACCCCACTTCTTGACCACATCCTTACCCTTCACCTCTTTTCTTTCTCTTTACTTGTTTTGGAGTCTGGCCAGGGACAATTAGTGCCAGCCAAGAGTGTCACAAACTACTCGTCTCAAATTTAGGGGAGGAGGTGATCCCCTGGAAATGTCTCTGGTGTGCTCATCTCTGGGAGAAGTCAGGGGCTCTGAGGGTAGGGAGGTAATCAGCAGGAGAAGCAGCTCACTTGTTACTGGTGGTGCGGACATCCACTGACTGACGATGTGAATGAACGAGTTTCCAGTCCTTTCGGGCAGTGACGCAGTTCCCTGGCTCCTTCTCTGAGTACCTCCTACATGAAGCGCCATGGACTTCAGTACAGAGCAGAAGGGAAAGTGCTCTTGAGTTTTACAAGAGTCACAACTTTCTTCATTTTCTCTCTGAATTCCCACTTTGCCTACTTACACGTACAAAAAAATGATGCCTGTTATCAGGGTAGTTGGCAAGATAGACAGACACAGGTGAGAAGGCAGGCTGTTGTGCCACATGTGTAGAATATTTGGAGAGCCCCTCTCACGCCTGTTTTTCCAGCTCTGCATACTCACTGTGTTGATGCCGGGTGCCTAGGGAATACACCCACCACACCCTTGATAAATAAGCTCAAAGTCGGAGTTTAACTGAGCTAATATTTACTATACTTTTACCCTATGCAAAGCGATTTACAAAGTTAGCTTTTGTAAAAACCTCGATGCCGAGCTATTATCATCATTGAGGAAATAAGGAGCCTGGGATGCAGGAGGGTTCATGACTTGAAGGTTCTAGCTAACCTACAAGCATGAGGCTGAAGATAGAAAACCAGGATTGAGCTGATCAGGCTTGTTTTGCAGAAGTGGAAGAGGCAAACAGAGAATGTTGCAGAGAAGAATTTTTTAACTTCAGGAAAGGAACTGCCTGGTGACCTAAAAGCATCCGTGTCCTTGGTCACCAGGGATGTTAGGAAAATCGGGTTCAGTTGGGAGAGGGTGTTTCTAAGCAGTAGCAGGAAGCAAGAAAGTTAGAAAGGAGTTGGCTGGGGAGGAGGCAGAGGGGTTTGGGAGTCTGGAAATAGCAGTGTGCATTCACCTGAATGCCATTGCTACACGGTGCTTCTGGGTCAGTGTAGCTACAGTAAAATCACCTGAGGTGTGTAATGCTGCTGAGTGTTCACTAGGAAAGGAAGCTGTACATGCCCAGGGGAAGCCACAGCTACTTTCTGTTGCAGTTACAGGGGAGAGAAGAGGGAAAAGATCCTCTAAATGTTGCCCTGTGCCCTCTAAGTGACCGTGCTCCCAGAGCGCACAAATGCAGTGGTGCCTCTAGATCTTTTACGGTCAGCCTGGCTCAGGACTCAGGCTTTGCCCCAGAGGCTTCTGGGAACTGACTGTTTGGGGTGCGGGATTCCCAAGGAGGGATCTGGTCACCTGCCCAAACACACAGGGCTATGCAAAGAAGGATGTCTTTGAGAGAGGAAAACGTGGATGGGATTCAGAGGGTCTGAGCTGTGTCTGGGGGCGTGGCTTAGCTCATTCTATTCTAAAGCAGACTTGGCTTTTAAATTGGAGTTTGGGCGGCAGAGATGAGACTAAACATTAAACACACACTTCCACATTTTGGAGCATTAACTTTGAAAGGAGCAATTAGGTAGTGATTTTAATGCATTGTTAGGCTGCTGTTAAGTGAGGGATGTGGGTGGCTCTGTTGGGAGGGAGAGGAAGGTTTGGGTTTTCCTCCGCAGAGCCCCTCCTTCCTGTCCCCCACTGAGGTCTGGGTTCCCCTCCCCATCTCCTAGCCTGTTTCCCAGCTTTGGGCCATTTCACACTCTCCTGCTGGGTTACCTTCGCAGTGTAGTTTTTCTAGATACACTATGGTTCAAAACCCTCCCGTGACTTCCCCGGAGGCCTGTGAATAACAGGCAGACCACCTGGGCCAGCGTTCACAGCCCTGTAGCATTTTGCTCTTCCTTTCCTACCTCGTTCCTCAGTACCTTTGTGTCCGGCAAATTCAACTGCATATCTGTGATTTATTCCTTGAGGAACTTCACCTTTTCCCTCAGTTATATTTTGTTATACTCTTTTTCTTTCTTTTTGTCTTCTTGAGGCAGGGTCTTGCTATGTAGTTCAGACTGATTTTGAGCCCACTCTATACCCCAGGCTGGCCTCGAATTCGCAGCAGTGCTGCCTCAGTCTCCCCAGTGCTGAGATTACAGGTGTCTGCCACCACATCCAGCTTGTTACCTTGCTCTTTTTGTGTCAATTTCTTCTTTCTCCAATTTTTGCACCATCAGTTTCTTCGTGTTCTTCAAGATCTGACCTAAAATACTTGACTCCAAGGAAAATTTCCCACAGCACCCATCCTCATAGTGCAGAGGACACATGTCTGTTCCCGCTGTTGATCTCATGCATGGCATTTCCTTGTATCACTATACAGTGGCCATATTCTGCTTTGCGTGATGGTTATTTACATGTGCATCTTTTCTTCCTTACCAGGTGGAGTTTTACCTCTTGAAGCCATAGAACATAACTGATCACTATTGTTCTTGTTAATAAGAAGTACCATTCATTGACTAAATTGTTTAATTTGCAAGTATGTGTGGATTTTGTAGTAATACTTTTTATTATTGAATTCTAGTTTAAATCTACCATGGAACATACTCTGTACAGTAATTCTGCTTTTTTGAAATTTCTTGAGAGTTTCCTTTGTGGCTAAAGGTAAGGCCAATATTAGTATATTTTCCATGTGTTCTGAAGAATATATATTGTTTTTGAGTGCATTATTCTATGTGTATCAGTTAGGTAGCAGCTGTATACAGATCTCCTATATTCTTATGGATTTTTAAATCTATAAACAGCTGTTGTCTCTTAGTATTAGTCTTACTTTGCATTAATTCCTGTGAGTAGTATGTAAAGTTTCCAGTCAAGATTGTGCATTTGTCTATGCTGTACAGTTCTCTCAAGCTTTGCTCTGCATATTTTGTGTTGTTAGATGCATAGAAAGTTAAAACCCTGCCATCTTCCTGGCAGACATGACCTTCTGCCCTTGAGCAGAATCTTTTTTTTCTCTAGTAATGCTTTTTTTTTTTAATTTAAGGAGAAAAAGAAAAAACAGAAAAAGGGTACAAGTTATACAGAATTTCAGAAAAATAAACAGTAGGAAATCACTAGTTAATAGATTACATATTGTTATCTTAGAAATAGTTGTTCAAGTTACAAAATTAAAGCATATAAAGTGGACATTCAAACAGTGAGACTGCAAACAGTAATGCTTCTTGACTTGACTATTTTGTTTGACATCAGTATGGCCGTGTTGAATTCCTTTTGGTTAATGTTTGCATTGTGTATCTTTCTATTTTTTGACTTTTAGTCTTTTGATGTCCCCATATCTAAGATTATTTTTGTAAGCAGCACGTACCTGAGTTTTGCTTTTCACAAGGGGGGCAAACTTAGTGTTTTTCAGGTCACCGGCATTTAATGTAATAATTACTGAAGGAAACCTGCTCACATCATGATGGCCATTGGGTTTATAACTCACAACATACCCTGTGTTTTTCACTCATTTCACTTGTTCCATGTCCTTTTACTCACAGTTTTGGCTTGTTTTCTAATTATTTCCTTCCCATCCCTTTAGTTTGTCAGTCATGCATCACTTTCCTAGGCTACTATGATAACTCTTAAGGTTACATCTCCATCTACTGATCCTGGAGTACTGGATACATCCCAGAGGGTAGTTTTAAATCTCTCCATGTTATGCAGTGGATAAACCGCACCTCAGTTCTTCCTTCTCTGGCTTACTTGCTCTCCTTACCTATCACACAGGGCTATCCTGCGCTGCTGTGCATGCTGAGCACTGTAGAATTCCAGAGTTTTCCATTCACATCATACACAGGAGTTTAGGCTCCAGATGTCCCTTCCTCCAGTCCTACTCAAGTGGGCCCAGAGCATCTGCCTCATTAAAAGCTCCCAGGTGCAATTACAGATGTTATTAATATTTTAACTTTTTGCAAATAGTTCCCAAGGAAGCATAAACCACACCTTGTATATGTCTGCACATAGCATGATGCTCAGAGGTAGAAAACATGTCTTCCAAGGCCAGATACATGAAGAACCAGGGCTTCTGTGGCCCAGGAACCTATGTAGTGGAGCATCCCAGGAGGCCACCCCTTCAAGGAAGTCTTGAGTCTGGCACATATACAAGAAAAGCCTTTCTTGGCTTGCACAAGGGACCACAGTTCTGGGTAGGGTCACCTGCAGGTTCCCAGGGGCTCAGTGTCCCAGGAAGGCAAGCCCCTACTCAGTATAGGCTTAGGAACTTAGATAGTTCCTGTGAGGATCACAGTCACTTAGATAGTGACTGTGAGGATGAGCCTCAAGGCATGGCATTATGAGGGGTGAGGGTGAGACTGAAGGCTTTGGTCCAGAATGTCTCCAAACTTTCAAGTGCTTGGAGGTGGGCCTTTTGGAAGGTGATTGGGTCATCACG